AACTCCTGCAACCCTCGAAGGCAAGGCCATTTTTTTGAACGCCTCAGACGTGCACACGACGGTACAGTCGGACCTAGGCCAGAAGAACATCCCTCAAGAACATGAGATTCTCCGCCAGCCAAGACGAACAGAACATCCAAGGGTACCCTCCCCAGGATGCACAAGAGCCTTCAACGAACACTTTTTGTCGCAACCGCAAGCGGAAGCGCAGGCGGCGAGTAACGGAACGGGCGGGCCGCGCGCGAACCTAATTGCCTAACGCGCCAGCAAGCAGAGGCCTAGGCGGCACCTCAGATCACTGGAGCGGAGGGGGTGCGGGCTGCAGCTGCCAGGAAACCTCCAACGAACACGAAGAACACCGAAAAAAACCCTCCGAACCGGCCTCGATCTTGTACCCCGGCCCCCTGCATTCTTCTTTTCTCTTGGCGGCACGGCTGGGGTAATCCGCACGGGCGCTCGAGCCGTCGGGGGGCGCTCGACGAACTGCCGGTCCGGCTGCAGGGGGCGCGCGCGGAGGAGGGAGAGAGAGGACAGGAGGGAGGGAGAGGGAGGGCAGGAGGGAGGGCAGGAGGAGGGAGGGCAGGAGGAGGGAGAGGGAGGGCAGGAGGGAGGGCAGGAGGAGGGAGGGCAGGAGGAGGGAGAGGGAGGGCAGGAGGGAGGGCAGGAGGAGGGAGGACAGGAGGAGGGCAGGAGGGAGGTTAGGAGGGAGGGCAGGAGGAGGGAGGGCAGGAGGAGCGGCCGCGGAAGGCAGGAGCAGGGAGAGGGGGGGGGGCACTCGCCGCAGGCAGCGCTTCAGGGTGAGCGCGCCGGTGCGGCAAATACCAGTCCCCTACAGTGGGGGCCTTGACCTAAGGAACCCTAAATAAGGAACGAGGCCCCTTTTTTCCATAAGTGAACCTTCGATTTGCTATCGAAATCAGAAAGAAAATCTGAGGCAAGCTGTGAAACACTTAGGGAACGCGGAGCCCCTCCCCAACGAAAAGGGTTCCTTCTTCAGGGCCCCGACGGTACACGCGCATACCATTCTCACAAGCCACAAATGCCAGCAGCCTTGAGAAGGCATGTCGGGCACCAGAGGAGAAGGAGAAGGTGGCAAGGAGGAAGAGGAGGAAGAGACAAGAGAAGCCGAGGCGTCGAGGCGGCTTTTGCGCCCGTGTGCGCACAGCGCCACGAATTGCCCCACCGCCTCGCACAGCATGGCGATGGAGACTGCAACACGAACGCTCCACTGCAAGAGAGTTCCTGGCCCAGCAACTACGCCAAGACGGAGGACGTAATGGCAGAGTGGGAGATGGAGCGAGCGGAGCCAGGGAGTGCGGAGCAAGTGCCGCCAGATCGCAGCACGAGAATCCCCTGGCATGCCAGTCAGAAACCACAGCTCGACACAGTGCAAAGACGGCAAGTGACACACTGACGTGCTCACACGGACAGAGCTCGCAGTGGACGATGGCACAACTCCCCCTGCATGGACCAGCACGTGCGGCTTGGATACATCAGCCACGCTAGGGATCCCAAAGGTTGACCTCCCAATGGGAAGCTTGCCCCAAAAAAAAGCCTGGACTAGCCTGCCCAACGTGGAGGTGCTGCCCCCCACCGTGCTGCTCATCGGGGTGCTGTTGCTTGCCGTCCTGCTCTGCGGCTGGCTGCTAGCACCCCTCGTGCTCTTCTGGCTGCAAGGATGGTGCGGCCTACCCGCTGCGTGCTGAGGAGGCCAGTGGTGATGATCACGCCATTGCTGCCCGCTGACGAGCCGATCGAGCAGACGTCAATTCTTCGGGCTCGAACTGGGGAAACCTGATGAGTAGTCTTGCTTGGCTCATTGCATACAGGAAGGCCCGAGGAAGGCCCAGAAGGAACCAACGGATCCTCAAAAGAGGCTCAAAGGAAAGCTCCAAAAAGGAAGCCCGGAGGGCCCCAAGATGCTACCAAGAGGCTACCAAAGCGCCCCGAATTGACAATTCTGCGAAGGCGCTTGAGCTGTTACGGTTGATTTGACCCCACGACTCTCGTCACGACAAGTCGCTGGGGGATCCTTTCCAGATGGGGCGGCACAAAAAGTGGTACAGTCAACGCAGGGCCCAAGCTTGGGTGCTTCAAAGATCGCGCCTCGCGCGACGCAACGACCCAGTAACAGAGGAGGGCCGAAGCAGCTGGACTCAAACGCGCCAGCCGACCGATCTCGATGCGGGTTGGCAAACAAAAGAAAGCGAGGCTCGAGGCCTTTATCTCTCTCCTGGGACCTCCGTCCTGATTGCCCTTGCGTGTGATAAGGAAAAAATGCCCCCAACCCTCTGGGAGAGAACCTAAGTTAGGAGGGCTAGAAACATCAGGGGAAGGGGGTGCGTTCTGCAAGTGTATCAGACCAAACCGCCCAGATGTATGATCCCGCATGCGAAGTCTTAATCGTCTTGCTCCCCACATTCAAAGTGGGATTCTTGTTTTCTCTGCACACACACCACAAGAACAAGAACACCCCCACTTCTTCTTCATCAACCGCATCATCATCAGGAACAGTAACACTCCATCATCATCAGCATCATCATTATCATCATCATCATCATCATCATCAGCAGCAGCAGCATCATCATCAGCACCAGCATCATCATCATTAAGAACAGGACCAAGCTCATCACCACCATCATCATCATCATCATCATCATCAGCAGCAGCAGCATCAGAATCATCAAGCATTCACTCTCAACACCATCATCAGCATCATCATCAGCAGCAGCAGCATCTCTCACACACTCGCACACTCGCACGCTCGCACACTCATACAGATCATGATGATGTCAACGATCACGATGATCTTCAGTCACTCATTCGCTCCGCACTGAATCACTCGCTCACTCACCTTTGGGCTCCTGAGGCGTGAATCTGGAGGTAGTCTCAAGCAGGGGCATCGCCAGTGAGTGAAGTGCAAGGAAGTCTCAGGCGGGAACCCTCTCCCTATGGGGCCCGCACCGTGTTGTTTAATCCGAAGCGGGTCACTCGCAAACGTGCAACTGTCGTCACTTTTGGGCCCCTGAGATTCGAATCTAGAGGAAGTCTCAGGCGGGAGCCCCGTCTGTGAGTGAATTGCGAGGAAGTCTCAGGCGGGAACTGTCTCCCTATGGGGCCCGCAGGTCATGTTTTTAATGCCAGGGGGTCGTTCGCAAAACTGTAACTGTCGTCACTTTTGGGCCCTTGAGGCCTGATACTAGAGGAAGTCTCAGGCGGGAGCCCCGTCTGTGAGTGAATTGCGAAGAAGTCTCAGGCTGGACCCCCCCCCACCAAATGGGGCCCGCACCTCATGTTTTTAACCCCAGGGGTCATTCGCAAACCTCTGTCGTCGCCTTTAAGCCCCTGAGGCTTGAATCTAGGGGAAGTCACAAGCGGGAGCCCCGTCTGTGAGAAGCGCGAGGAGATCTCAGACAGGGGCTCCCTCGTCTGCTCGTCTCTGGCGGGATCCTCCTCCATACCCCTCCCTATGGGGGCCCGCAGGTCATGTTCGAATCCGAGGCGGGTTATCGGAATCCTGTAACCGTCGTCACTTTGGGCTTCGTCAAGCTTGTGCATGGAGGAAGTCTCAGGCGGGAGCCTCGCCTGTGAGTGAATTACGAGGAAGCCTCAGGCGGGAGCCCCCTCCCTATGGGGCCCGCAGCTTATGTTCGAATCCGAGGCGGGCCATCGGGATCCTGTAACTGTCGTGGCTTTGGGCTCTTGAGGTCTGAATATGGAGGCACTCCCACGCGGGAGCCTCGTCTCAGGCGGGAACGCCCTTTCTAAAGGCCCCGCACTTCGCGTTCGAATCCGAGGCGGGTCATCCGCCTACTGTAGCACCCCAAGGAGGCAACACGTGAGGATGTCGGGCGCGACTCACGAAAGGTTCAGTGCTACTGACACTGCACGGGATTATGACGATGACGATGACGAGACGGCGGCCGGGCATAAGAGAAAATCCTTGTGTCCTGCACCCACAAGGACGACGATGAGGTTTACAACCAAATTCGTTTGGGGATTCTCATGCGGGGTCCTTCAATCGGAGTCATTCGGGTTAGGGCTTCTCCTGTTCTCGATGAATGTAGCGCGCGCTGGCCAGAATGTGTCCAGTGGCGCTTAGCGCCGAGCTCTTTGTGAAGCTTGGTACGTGGCGAGACCGAGCACCAAACTGCCAGACACCGTTGTCACAACACCATGACACATCGCGCAAGCCACTCTGAGTCCACTGCGTGGACTCGGGCGAGACCGCCTAGAAGCACACGGGCTAGTGTTTAGAGAAGGACAGGTTCGGGCGGGGTCGGGCCTTCTTCCCAGAAGCGGCCAGTTAGTCGGGCGCCCGCTGGTGTCAGATCGCCACGCAAGCCCAGAAGAAGCTCTGAAGCGGCTCCCGAAGCTTATAATATCCAGACGCAAACACCACAAAGGAAGATTCAAAGCTCAAAAAGCTGATGACATCATCCTGCTAGCCATCAGCCTCCACCCAGTCGGCCCGCACGCTGGACTCTCTGGCAACGCTGCCACGACAACTGAATGGGAACTTGTTCTCAGCGGCGAGCAGGCAAGCACCGAGACAGCAGGCAATCAAGCAACAGCAAGCATGCAAGCAGGCATGCAAGCAAATACGCATGCAAGCGAGGAACCAGCGAAGCAAGCAAGAGAGTCGAACCGGACCACCAGCGACCGCAGCTCGTCAAAACAGGAGCCGCCGAACATGGACTGGTGGGACGAAGCGGAACCGAGGCCGCTCCACGCCTTCAGCGAGGGGCCGCCCCACGCCCCACCACCTGATGATATCGATCCCCCGGCAAGCTCCTTCGCTGCCGCGACAGGACCACTCACGCCGGGGAGGAGCAGAGTGGGGCAGAGCGGAGACAGCAGCAGAGGCAACGCGGATCAGGAGTATCAGCAGCGGAGCACGAGGCACACCCCCTCCTGCGACTGCGCAATCTGGTTGTGACGTCGGCCCCCAGGAGACCTCGACAACTTCCCCGGGGCCAGCCTTTCATCCTGAGCCGTTC